TATATGATATCATGTGTATACACTATAATATAAGCGCATCGGTCGCGATGATATCCACGGCCCCTTTTCGGGCGCACGTAAATTACGCTTCCGCCGTGATGTTTATTAGCGTCGTAAACTCGTCTACCCCACGTGCACTGTGCAGGCACATTAAAAACACAACAAACCGGTGGAAATAACGTTTGGGAAAATGTTCGCAAATAAAACGTTTCATTATTATTGCTATCATTTTTTTCCCCACTCCTTTGTTCCTTGCGTCGTTTTATTACCGCCTACCTACACACACACACACATATCAGGACACGCCAAAACTCACCTTGTATACCTACTAATACCACCCCTACGTGGTATTTGTGAGAGGGTCTTGACTCCTCTATTTTCGTTTCAGGGGCGGCCAAGTCATTTGAAGTCATTACGCGCGTATATACTGTTAAATACGTTTCAAACGGCCAACGCACCGTCATTGTCGGGTGTTTTGACGAGATGACTTTTATTTGAATACTTATAAATTATATTATGTATATATTGTACTTAATAGATTATACAAGTCGCGGTCGTCACGTTTACACGTTGCCGGACAGGTAACCGCTACCCCATGGGTCACATCATTAAACGACCCGCCGGACGCCGAGGGAACCATAAAACCCTGTCTGGTTCTCCTCTACACCTTTAATCGGGTATAGCTCATTTGCGCCAAAAAGATAAGAAACTACCTTCATTCTGATTTATGGCAAAAACACATCGGTTTAACATGCAATGTATCCACAATCCCGCCTATTGGCCGTTAAGAACAATTGGTGAAACGTTATTAGTTTTTTGAAATCATATTATAATAGGGCCTTATTTTAAATGAATCACTTTGGTACATACAAAGAGTTTGTCAAAGTATTTATTAGTATAGATAAATTTTAAATAATTAATGAACGTAATATTACTGGTAGGATAAAAGTACTCAACACCATAACAATAAAATATGTAAAATAAAAATCATTACCTATCTATGAAGTGTTATTATATTTGTATAAATTTGCTGTATACATTATATTATTTTTAATAATCTTAAATTCTATTCTTGTGTTCATTTATTTGAACAAATATTTATTTTTTTATAAATACAAGTTGTTGGGAAAAATAAGAGGGTAAATAAGTCAAAAAGAAGTTAATTAATTAATATATAAAGAAAAAATTAAAATTACCCAAAAATGACATAAATATTAATCATAAAAAATAAAAGTATACAAAATAACTGTAAATACATTTTCCAAAATTAAAATTATGCATTTGTTTTAAAAATTTTCTTCTATGGCAGTCTGGTGATAGTCACAAGTCACACAAGCTGGAGATTCACTCATGCATACATAGAAAAAATAACTATGAAATTATTATAAAAAATGCATAATCGTAAAACTTTTGAAACTACTGAAACACGTCGTCATTATATATTTATATGCCTCTTTCCCCTATCCATCTCTCCTATATTTAAAAATGTGAGATGTCTGAAACGAAGGATCATAGAAGAATCCTTTTTTTTAGAAACATTCTATAAGGTAGGTACTTTCACACTTCTCTTAAAAATGATAACTTCAAGGAAATAATAATTACAAACGATAGGTACTAGCATATGCGACGATTAACATACGCAAAGGGGAATTTGACACCCATTTTTGTTCAACATAAGTGAACCTAAAATTTATATAACCATTGAAATATTGTTTATCAATCTTTCTAATTTTGTTTTCATTGTCGAGAGTATCATCAATGATATTTCTTATTTTTGTACATGCAAACCAGTTCCAAATTACGTTTTCGTTTAGAAATTCGTCCATTTTGTTATGAAAATAGTCTTTACATTATATTATTCAATGCAATTATAACACATTTATGCTTTAAAAGTCCACAAAAGCAAGAATATTAAAACAATGTAACTTACTTTACGGATTTTTTTTCACAGATTTTAAAATTTTGGCGGAGTACTTATACCAAGTCCACGGAACACCTGTGTCCGCGTAACACCGGTTGAAAACCACTGCGCTAAGATGACATAAGTATAGTTTAGTATGTAAGTACTTAGCTATGTATTTCAACGTACAAGGGAATATGTATATAACGGAATATTACTTCTGAGGTAAAGAAATGAGTACAACGACGAAAAAATAATAAGTTTTATAATATTCCTAAATAAGATAGCAACCGTATAAGTATAGTATATTATATATAATAGTAGTAGTATAATAACTTTCAGAATCGTTTTATATAATTTAATTTTTTATCATTCAGAATAATACTATATATTAATACGAGTACAATGAGGTACATATACTTATATATATATATATATATATTATTATATATATATAAATCTAGATATCATAACAATATTTAATATCTGTTAAAATTTGCAATACCAATCAACATTTTAATCAAATATAATAATAATTTTCGTAAGAATTTAAAATAATTATATCATATTATATTCACAATAATAACGTGCAAACAATTTTTTTCTTAAATAAAAACAACGAACATCTGTGTGTGAGGATACAGTTCAACTATATATATATATATTAAATGGTATTGTTTATACGTCCATCCGTAAATAATAATATAATATAATATAATAGTAATAATTGATGTATGACAAAAATTCACTACGATTGGCCGGATAGTCAAGAAAAATACTTATGTAAATAATACTAAATATCGAGTAAAATAAAATAATAATACAAAAGTAATACTATTAATAATATTCTCTTGTATAAGAACTTAAAAATAACGTACTAAAAAGTTAGGTTAACATTAATAAAAATGCACGTGCGTTAATGATTAAAAATATCAAATGCATTGTATTAATACAATAATAATATAATATGTGAGTGCGATACCTATGTATAAAATATTTATTATTTATATAAATTGTAAATTTAAATAAGGAATGTAATTAGATCATCTAATATATTATTATTATTGTTATTATTATTACTATTAATCATTGAGCATTGTAGGGTACCAATTTGCATAATATTATGCACAGTACCGATCAAAACGCGTCGTCGTGCGTAACAAAAAAAAAATTAGAGCCCAATTATTCGTCGTCAATTTTGATTTATGAATTTCGCGGCGGTGCAGGAAGATGGATTATCACAATTCTTACCGAACGACGACGATAATGAATGGATATAATAATTTATATAAAATCAAAAATTAAGGAGAGGAAGCGAAAAGATTATTTCATTCCCCCCTCTCTCTCTCAATCTTTGTGTATCATATAAATCACGATCCACTACGGCGGTGAAGATCAGTCAATATTATTAGTGTGTGGATGGGTCGGGTGTAGGAGATAGAGCCAGAAATTGTTACACAATACTTGTGCATATCAATGAAATTCTTCTGTGGACAAAGGTCTAGGTAAGCGTATACGAAGGGGTACATTACGTTTCTCCCAACGAGTAAAAACATAATAATACTAATAAATAGTAATAATAATAATAGTAGTAGTAGTAGTAGTAATAATAAAAATGTTAGTACAAGCTACACGGTCCATTAAATCGACGAGTTAATTTTTTTGTCTGGCCGTCGACGGCGAATGAGTTGGTGGGTAGGTGGATGAGGTGGGTGTGAAAACTCATGTTATTTTGTCGTCATCAGTAGACAAATGATAAGGATGTTTGAGCATATATCAAATATGCGTGTTAAGACGAACGAGGTTTATGGTAAAAAGTTGAATCCAATACACACACGAGATGCGGCAACATATTATATAATATACACCTTGTATATAAATATAATGTAACATATTAATATGTATATTATATTTTTTGTATATAATGGAAAATAAAGCGAGTAATATATTTATCGAAGAGGAACTAAAAAGTTTTAGAATTTGGTTTTGAAAACGAATTAAAGTACTTCCAAACCGAAAATATGATGATAAATCGTCGGAATAAGTTGAGCCATTGAAAACCGTCGACGCCGGCGACGGACACGCGCGAGAAACTATATATAATAATCAAATAATTAAATATTTATAATAATAATATGTAAAATAAATATGGCCGTCGTCAGCGGAATTGTAATATTAAAATAATCACATTTTTTTTTTATGGAAGGGGGAGTAATTATCGGAGCGGTAAGCAAAACCATCCCCTAGACGGCGGCCTGCCGTTGTCTGGGGGCGAGTCGATCGTCGTCGAACAGGGACAGTCAGCTTCGTGATGGTAATGCTGCATATTGTGGGGTGCGGCGTAATCGTCGCAGTCCTCCTCGTGTCACACGTTGTCCTCTTGCGACATCAGCAACGGGTTCACGTATTCAAAACCCTCGAATTCAGACTGATCGATTTTTTCAATGACACGTCTGAAAAAATTCAAAAATAAACGCAATTATTCACGATTCAATTTGTTCGAGTCGATGACATATTATACCTTATCATATATATTTTTTTATTATTATGAATACATTATATATATAATATACTATAATATATATGTTGATTTTTATTTTATATAAAGTTATTCAATGTCAGGAAAGTTTTTGTGGCTCAGCTACAAATAGGTAGTAATTATTATCATTAATTTACGTAATTAACTTAAGTTAGTTAAGTGAAAAGCAACATAGGAATGTATTTGATAAGTTATCAAACAATAAATTCAACTTTCAAAGTTTGAAATTAAAATTGTTATAACAGAAATAACTAAGTGAATAACTCGGTAAAAATAATTTTAAATATTATATGAACTTTATGACATGTATGCGTATACATACAATAAATTTTAATTTCTAGTTTAAATAACTTATTCAATGTATATTGTATATAATATATGTGTAAATTTAGGTTATTCACGCCACCACTGTTTGATTACAAACAACAAGAATTGTATACTTTGAATAACTTCGCTGTTTAAAAATTAGGTTGATATACACATAAAAATTATTTATTTATCAACAGTTAACATTAATATAAGCTTGAGATTAAAACACATTTTATTGTATTTCTTGTATGAACAACTTAACTATACAATAATTATAAATAGTATATTATTATGTACATAACATATTATAAACAAATTTAGATTTCACGACCTTTTCAATTTTTGTACAAAATGTTAATGTTACTATATTACTTTGAATAAATAAACACTTTTCTTTATTTAAAAAATTTACCTCGTGTGTACATACCTATTATAAAAAAAGGGATTATTAAACAACTATTCCAAGTAACAAAATCAACATTTTTTTAACTATCAAAAAACTAGCTCTTGTAACACAAGCAATATCTGGTAGCCACATTTAAGGTTACAATGAATTGTCAAAAAAATTTAATGGTCCAGAAAAGAAAGACACAAATATTATTTTCTTTATCGAGATAAATGCATAAAATTATTGTCTACAATAAAATAAGGATTAACATTATATAAGATATCCAAAAAACCCAAGAAGATAAACTGGTAATGCACACACTATTAAATTATTAAACCTATCTGAAATATAAAATTAAGAATATTTTTAATTATAGCTATATAATTGGCTGAAAAAGCATTACTAAGAGAAAGAGGTTGGTACCAAGTGTGGAGTAAACAATTTTTAGTTCTTATTAACTATTTAAATGTTTTTAACGTCGACTTATTCGTATTTATATACAGGGTGATTCTTTTATCAAACAACACTCATTATTTAAAAAAGTATTGACTTTTTTCAATTTTTTTTTTTTTCAAAATTGTAGATTTACACTCTTCTTGAATTGTTTATTATTTTTATATTTTTCGCCCTTATATTTATTATATACACCACCATCAACTTTTGATTTTCAAATGGTAACCTATACTTCAAATTTCATAAAT